TGTCTTCATGAGACATATTTCCTCACTTATCTTAAGACCTATGAAAATCTCATTCTAAATTAGAACTTTGGGGACATAGCTCAGTGGTAGAGTGTTTGCCTAGCAAGCATAAAGCCCTGGGTTCAATCCCCAGCACTGTCAAAAATAAAAATAAGACTTTCTCTGTATCCTGATTTTTTTTTCATAGTCTTTCACAAAATGTATATATACCCTTAAGAAGTCAGTTTTTAAACTATCAAGGGTGATAAATATCATGCCCCAACTAAGACACTCTCTTAAATTAGACAAAACTTAATCTACAAAATCTCTAGATAAAAAAATATATATATATATTTATATATATATATTAACTAAAGAAGAAACACTGCACTCTGAGATGATCAAGTCAGAGCTGTAATCCACTAAAACTTTTCAATAAAGGCTTTTGGCGTTTCTGTGTGCGCGATTGCATTCTACAATTATATATTTCCAGATTCTTCCTTTTTGGCATTTTGTTGTTGTCTGTCCTATACATGCTTGAATAGATGTTTGAGGCTTAATGCTTGAAGGTTGTTGGCTGCAAAATAACCATCAGTGTAGCCAGTCTTTCCCTGTCATGTTGGAGTAGCAAGTAGAATTTGCTACTGCCTTTTCTCAAATTCCAGAGCATGTGTGTGGTTTTTGGAGTGGTGTGGAGATCTCTCCTAGTATGTTGCTAACCTGTATACCACATCCTTTAGGGAGAGGAAGCAAAAAACATTCCTGGTGAATCTGTCACAGAAGAACAATTCACTGATGAAGAAGGCAACCTCATCACCAGAAAAGTAATTAATCATCAATGAGTTTTATGCTTCTCTTGGAATTTAAATTTTCTGCATTAAAATCACATGATTTTCATACTATAAGGTCACCTCTTGAAACAGAAAAATCTCTATTGTTCACTATTGCTTCCTGCAGATCACTCGGAAAGTAATAAGACGAATTATCCCACAAGAGAGAAAACAGGATGAAGTGGTAATGCAGAGAGACTGCCAAGGAAAAAGTAGATGATAAAAGCTTTGTGCACTCGATAAAAAAGCTGCTAACGGACTGACATCTGCAGTGTGGCAGCTTGAAGCATTTGCTGCTTTTGATATATGCATTTGACCAGGGTCAAATTAAAAGGCTTTTCTTCCTAACATTCCTTAATGTTATATATTTTTTACTATCTTCCTTCACAAAGATGAGTTCATTTTTTGGTGACAGAATATGCTAGTTTGAAAGAGGAAGATAATAAAACCTTTTGCCACCTACAAACCCTCCTTGGGAGTAGCCAAGCCCTAACCAGGACTGACCTTCAACTGAATGCCTGCCTGGGAAATGAATGGAGTACACTCCAAAGGACAGGAGTTGAATAGCTGGGTGGCAAAAGCTCAGTTCACAATCCTGATATCAGATCCATAGATTTTCTCTTTCCAAAATATTCTACGGGGAAATCTGAATTACATTTTTGCCTATAAAGAGGTTCCCCTCTTTCCAATGTGCCAGTTACAAAACCAGACTCAACACTGAGCAGTGCAGTTCACCCAATAAAGCCCCATCTCTCAAAGAAAACATCGTTATTTTTCATTTGTTTC